CTCTTTTTCTCTGCCCTTGCTTCTTTTTCCTTCACGCGCTTTCTCCGCCACATAGACAAATTTCTTTGTGAGCCGCGAGAGTAACGAACCGATGGAACGTTGCGAAAGGAAAAGGACGTGCTTCGGCGAAATAAATCATCAAAGGTATCTTCGTCAAAGCTCGGACGAGACAGCTGACCATTTTTCGATAGGTTCTCGCAAACGGAAACTTACGCGCTCCAATATCAGGATCGTGAACGCGCATAATTTCTACAAAATTATGGAAAATTACGGTGATCCCGCCCACTGAACTGATGTAGCTCGGCAAGACTCGGCCGCGAAAGGATCGCAAACAAAACTATGTAATGGACATCGTTCGTTGATCGCGCCTCATAAGGACGGGGATGTAACGCACCTGTCGATCTTTCGAAGGTGTCAAGAGACGATTGAGACTGAAAGGATGGAAGAATCGCACATATATAGAACGCTCGGTGTTATTTGTACTTTTAAGACCTAGTTCTATCTGGCACCCGTCTAAAAAGTTAAGAGGAAAATCCTACCTACATTTCTCCCTTGCCTCTCACACTCACTGGTCGAGTCATTCTGTGATTAATAGGGTATGCCTTAACTTCGTAATACCTGTGAGACTTTTCCTAATTTCTGGAGAGTCCTTATTGAAACTAGTCATCTATGCGTGCGTATATTAAATACGTTATAGATAAGGGTAAAGATCGCATTAAATGTAATATTTATTTGACTTGAATTTGTAATATTGAAATAACATAATCTTATATTTCGTTTCGTTGGCAAATTCAAGCATGTCAAACAAATGTGTTATTTAAATTAGCCTATTGGATAGGAAATTCTCTCAATATTAACACACGCGTTATTCGCACGCAACGCGAGAGGACGAACGTAATGTAACGAGCCGCCATCGCGGCTCTCTTTCACCCCGCCGCTCGCTAATTCCTCTTCGCTCGCAAGCAGTTAGCGATGCGACTCGCGCGCGAGAGTACGGATGCACCAACACGCATACATCCGAGCGTATGCACGGCGACCAAACTTGCCTAGAACCCGATACACGCACAGAAATATAAGCGTGCGAGAGAGCGCGAAATAACGCGAGGTGATGGCAGAGGACAAAGGCTTCGCGACGTGGGTACTAGAAGCTAGACGGGAACCCAGGCGAGAGAAGGGGGACGGCGGCGGCGGCAGTCGCGGTGGTCGCGAAAGGAAGAAGAGAGACGGCCGGCCGGTCTTCCTTCTCCCTCGGAGCAGCGGGCGTCCAAAGGGGGAAATCGGCGGAAGGGGAGATGCCCGAGGGGCGAACGCGAGCGTTCGTTGCTTACTCGCGAACCGAACCGCGGTTCGTTTCTATACGTCACGCGGCTGTTCGTTCGCTCACGCGCTCGCTCGCTCGCTCGCTCGTTCGTTCGTTCGTTCGGTGAGTCACGCATCGCGAGCTTCCTACTGCCAGGCCCGCCGTCCGTCCATCCGGTTAAGCCCGCGCGACCGACGTTTGCTACTCTCCTCTTCTCCTAAAACGATCCCTTTTGGAAGAACTACGCTGCCAGACACTTATATTCACATTCTATATGTTATTACATGCAAATGAAAAATATCGATGTCGTGTAACATCAAGAAGACATAACCGAAATATATAAAAAGGAAGGGAGAACAAGTAATATAAGGATATGAAATTATAAATAATATTCGAAGAGCGATGGTGATAAGTATTGCTATTATCGATCGGAGCTTCTTGAATATTGTCACTTTTAAGTGCAACCACGGGAGAGAGATGCGTGCGTCCAGATAAGAAAGTTGTGCGACCCAGCGCGTGTGCAATCATTAGTATTGTTCGGGTCGCTGATACGTAATAAACTTATTATAACGACAAGGAGTCTACAACACTGATTACCCAGTGAACAAAAGGAATCATGGAACAAAGAGAGTACAATCCATTATTTTTCAGCAAGGATATATTAGAATTAAAATCACTTAACAAATTATCGTATGAAAAATTTGTACTTATTTGGTAGTTCTCGGGAAAATTACTTTTTACCAATCGACACATAGTTTAGTCCCAGAAGAAATTCCTGAATGTTTCCGGTCCAATCTTTTTCCTTCGCAACACTAATGCAGAAAGTGCAGAAATATGAGATATCCCAGAAATATTAGCAAAGAGCATTTTCGTTTGAACAATCTCGATTCGCGCAAATTAGTTCGATCGCCCCTTCCGTCGCGGAAGTCGACGACCCCTCGCGACACGTGGCTTTCTCTGCACGTCGAGAGCAGATTTTGCACTTCCCGACCTTGTAAAATATCCGAACGAACGAAACTTTTAAATCGGAGAAGACTCGCGTTCTCGCTCGCTCAGCTCATCGAGACAAGCGGTCGAATGACGTATCGCAATGCGAGATTAATAAACGCGCTCGCACGGAATCAATTCTCAATTTAAGGTCCCGCGCAGCGGTACTCCGTGCCTTTGTACATAAAGCAAAGTTCAAATCGATGCCGCGACCCTCGGGGTTACAGTCTTCGATATTAATTGGCACATGGCGGCCGTGGCATGACGTAAAATATCGCAGGGTGAATTCCATTTCGGCGATCCATCGTGGCGATAGCCTTCGCAAAGGAACGTGAAATATTACCAAAAACGTCGATCGACGCGTCCAACGAAGACCGACCGGCGTGCGCGCGCACTCTCTCTCGTTTCCTTCTCTCCCCGATAATTACCGCGCCCGATAATCCGATCCCGGCATCGCTTTATTACTTTACCAATAAGCAACCGATATTCGTGCCATCCGAATTCCCGATAAAATTCCTCGCGAGGTATATATATATGACGTAATACATGCGTTACGCGGGAACCACCGGCCTTAGCCGTGTCTATTCCCGCAAGAAATTAATGCATCGATCAAACACGACCGCCACTTTGGTAATCGAGTATATATCTTATCTCGAGAATAACGCGACGAGCGTTCGTTGGAATAACATAATAACGAGACGAGCAGGTAGGTAGACGGAACGAGGATCTTCCGCGATAAAAGCCGTGACTAGGGAAATCTTCGGAGCGTCATCGCGCTGTCTCACGTTTGTTATCGTTATCTCCGATTATTGGGAGCGAGATAGTATCGCGCGAGGGACTCCGAGATGTTATCACATTTGTCATTACGATCATCGAAGGATCGCGCGCTTCCTTCCTTCGTCAGCGATAAGTTGTTCTCTTCTTCGTAGAAATTCTCTATCGGGACGTACGAAATCTAAAGCGCGAAAGTATGCCGTCGAAAATACTAGGCTCGCGCGAATGAATTATAACGGTGAAGCATCGGGAGCCACCGCTACCGACATGTCGCGTTCGTGCCGACGTATCCGGAGCGAGAGAGATGTATAACGCGCGACGGTGGAGCATACCCCGAGGCCCACCGCACGTACGCTCTCCCGCCTTTGTGTGACTCCGTCGTATGCGTACGTTGCACGCAATGTGTGTGCGAGAGGAAGAGAAGGACAGAGAGAGGGGCCCGCGGGCCAGACGATCGTGGCATGCGGGTCCCGCGATCACGACGGCCAGCTGCCTCAGCGCGCGCGCGCTCCTATACGGTGTCGTCGTCGTCACTCAACTCGCGATTTCCGTCACTGCTACGCGTCGCCCACGATACCGTCGCGTACATAAAATTCTCATAATTATCGTCTCTTTTCGTCTCCGGTGCGCTATCGACGTCTCCACCGCCATCGCGCGCCTCTTCCCCGTCTCGGTCGGGCGCGGATGCGCGCGGCAACGCCGCCGCGTCACGACACGCCGCTTGGGTATAGGTTATCGCCGCGGTGGCTTCGGGAGAGCGCGCACGTATACGCGGACGTGGCCACAGACGAGCGCGGACGTGTATGTGTACCTGGGCCTGCTCGATCCCTCGGGGTTCGCCGCACCATACATGCTCAGCCAGACCGCCGCCGCGCTGCGAACGATCGAGCTAGCCAGCCGCGGCGCGGCAACGCGTCCTGCTGTTCGTCGCGTCGTCCTTGTCGTCATCATTTTCGATTCCCCCCGCGTCTCGCTCTTTCCCCCGTGTATATATATATATATATATATCTGTCTATCTCGCGCCCGGCAATATAAGCCGAGTAATATTACCGCGGGAAGAGCGGTAAGTTAACAGAGAGCCGCTGCTACGGACCGTTCCTTTCGAGAATTTACGAGCACCACGGTCCGGGTGCTCGCCGACTCTCCACTTCGTTCCCTCCTTCCCCCTCCCTCTTACACGGCGCTCTCTCGCTATGTATTCTGCGCCGCGCCACGTAGAACCCGGCTGGCGGCGGCATCGTAGAAACCCGTGAGGGTTTCGGTGCTACGCTCGCAATTTCGTCGGAGGGAGCCGATTATGCGAGGGCAATCGCGCGACGATAACTTATCAACGTCGGGAGATAAAGTACCGATAACGCCGTCAACAAAAGATGTCTATCGACCGAATCGATCGATGATATCGCGAAATTAAACGAATCTTGCGTGGGAATTGCGTTAACGTTACTGTATCATTATCAAGCGTATTGTCTCATGCGCGCCTTCCACCTCGGCTGAACCTGATTAGCGATACTCTCTCGTCGGTAGCCGTAGATAACGCGCGCCGTTCTCAAAAGCGCGTTTTGAAACCCGAGACCGTTACGATTGTTTACGGGCGAGCGAGCAGCGAGGATTCCATCGACGGCGGCGTGTACGCGCCGCGGAGTTAAATCGGCCACGTTTGAAATTCTCTGCGTCCTAGTCGGTCGCGCGTCGTCGTGTGTATCGCTCGCTCGCTCGCTCGCTCGCGCATCCGCCGCGCCGTAGCGCCCACAGTGTCCGCGAGAGGAAGGCGGCAACGATAAGAAAACAACGACGAGGGGACGGCGGAGTGAGGGGAACGTCGACGGAGGGAGGGAGAGAGAGAGAGAGAGAGAGTCGTTTATTCGGCGCTCCGGGGACAGGTCCCCCTTAAACGCGGCGAAAGAGAACGGAGGAGGAAGGGGGGGGGGATGGGGAGCAGAGAGGCGTGCACGCGGCAATACATAACGACGAAACGCGACGCGGCGCGGCCCAAGCTCGCGGACCCTCACATCCTGTCTATGACAGGACGGCTGATGGTCGGTCCCGTATCCTCTGGTGAGGCCCTACCCATGACCGCGTCTATATCTTCTCTTTTTTTTCTATGGCGCAGTCGACGCCGTCGTAGCTGACGTCTCGTAAGAGCGCCTTCGACTCGGAACTTTTTGGATTTTGACAACAAATCTTTCAAATTCTTATCGAGATATTCCAAGTTTTTCTAGGAAACATTCTATTCTTTTTTCGATAGGCGTCCGATAGTTTCAGACTCTATTCGGAAAAAGAGCAAAGGGCCAGGAGAGGGAGAAAAACTCGTTTATTTCGCTGTGTGTGTGTGGAGAAATCTTAGGAAAAAGAATGTAGGTATGCGCGCGCAAATTTTTCTTATGTCTCCCCTAGAAAAGGCGTGAAAACCTCGAACTTAAATATATCGAAGCAACTCGTTGTTGCTTCTTTGTCGTTGAGTATGACGGGCGGATAGTTCTATCATATTATTCATGTTTACGTTGGATAAATATTAATAAGATATTTGTTCGCGAAGTAACCCGCGGATACTAGCTATTTGTCCACAATTTAGTCGCACTGCTGCGTTGCCCCTTGATGTCTCTATAAAAACGGAATCTTTCTGGTACAAAGTTGACTGTAACGAAGTAAGGCGATAATTTGGGTAAAATTTTCTAAATGCCTATTAACATAAGTTTCAATTCTCCTATACGATGCCTAATTTATTCACACGCTATCTCTTCCGGGCTATCTCCCTTCGAGATAACCCGAAGAATGGGCATGCACTACCGGAGTGTTGTGATGCTCACTTTAAGTATCGGGCGAATGATTATCGAATTTCATATATTCGGAAGAATTCCGTAACACGGTCCGTCGAAATATTCGTATGAATTGATCTCTCCGTTCCTCAACAGTGCGATCTTTTTTCACGGACAGAAAATCGCGATACTTTACAGAACCGAGTTGAGTATTACATCCGCGCTCAGATACAAAGGGAACGAGGGAAGAGATGGACCGTAGGTTCGTGGATGTACGAAATTGTGACTAGAACCCGAAAGAAACGGAATTCACCGCATACCATAATGAAAAAGGTAACCCAAATAGGGAATCCGCACGATATTCCCTCGCGAAAAGAAGAAGTTTTCATGTAACCCGGATGATTATTTTGCCACACTTTATTTATTTATATCATCTAATCAACTTTTTCTCGATACAAGCTCTCCTTCACGGTATTCCTACTACACAGTGAAAGAAAAAAGAAAAGTTTGCGAATATGGCGGAGGCAAAATTCTAACGGCGTTTCATCGGCGATTTGTTCTAGCATTTCTGCCGACGACGATGAGAAGGATGAAAAAAGTGAGAGACCTGTCGAAGGGAATATAGGCGCGGACAATGAAGCGGATGAGAGAGAAAGAGGGAGATGGCGAAGCTAACAGCGAGGGGGAACCCGTGTAAAAGAGGCGAGAACGTGACGAAGCTCGCGGCGCGACGCCGCTTCACCACGCCTCGCCTCGCCGAGCGCGCCGAACGCGAGGGGGGAATCGCAAGGGGGAAACGCGCGAGGGGAGCGCGGCGATTTGGCAACGGCTTTTATGGCTTTCGTTCGCGATCGGTTGGAAGCCGCGCCACGCCGTTGTGCGCGGCAGTGTGGAGGACAAGAGAGCGGACGGGGGAACGAGAGAGCGAGCCGCGGCGGGCTAGCGTCCGGCATACCGAAAACGAAACCGGGCCGCGAGTCGTGCCAACCGAGCGAACGTGTCCCGAAAAAAAGCGGGGAAAACGTCGGCTATATATTGTTTTCTCTCTCATTTGTCGCGCGTTTTATGCGCAAATGATCGCGCGTTTTAACGCCTCGTATCATTGGTCAGGGTCAATGACACATACATACACCGAGCACGTGCGCACGGTGGCATTCTCGCACGGCCGTTCGCGAATCCATTATCCGCGCGAAGGAATTCTGTTTATTATCCCATCGCCGGCTGTTTGCGACGTTCTCGGATCACGTTAAGATTGCGCCGATCGAGTTATTGCGCGCTCTAGTACGTTGTAATATACTAATTATCTCCTCTCTCTCTCTCTCGCTGATGTAAACGGCCGGCTACTCATTTCGTATTCGATCGCGACGGGGAATCGATGCGTGCGCGCCGACCAACCGTTTCATAACGCCGACGACTGCGTGTCTGTCGCTCGTTCTACGTTAGCGGCCCTACAGATCGATCATATTTTTCAACTCGCTATTGAGTAGTCATGATATTTTACATTGCCACATCTGATTTTCACGTTCTTCACAATTATTTCTGCATATTTAAATGCCTTATAGATTAATAGCCATCGTACTTATTACGACGCTCCGTCGCGATCTTACAGCATTAGTTTTATCGAGATATACGCGGGTTTAAGCGAAACAGATGAATTCGTAGCTGTGACGAGCGCTTCAAGTGTCAGGATTGTTCTTTCGGAGCTAGTCGATCAACAGAAGAAAGGAATTATTGTCCACGGTGCAATATAGGGACTATGGCTCGAATCTTGTTTCGAAGTATATCATACAAAAGAGAAATATATATAAATACTACAAAACTTTTTCATTTGTTAATCATCTTGATATTATTTATGCGCTTCAAAAATCGATTTTATTTGACTTTTTTCCAGCTCAAAACAGACTGTGATTTTGATTGTCTCAGAAAGTAAAGTTAAGAACATTTATGGTGTTTAATAATAGAGAAAAAAATGAACTTCACGATAAAAGTTTTTCGAGTACGCTGGGTTCAATAGTTTTTTAGATATCAACACTTGTATAAGAAGAAAATCAAATAAGCGCGGCTAATTTCGCCTTCGATAAGTTCAAACACATTAGTCAAGCGTCTTCGGGTGGACTGCATAGTGAAAACTTATTTCGACGATACTTATTATCTTCGGTTAAAAATTTCGACTACTTGTTTTTAAACGTTGCGTCTTGTCAAAACATTATTTGTATCTTTCGCCTTCCTAAATTAATCGGTCTATTTTATATTAAAATAATAGATTCTGCAAAAATTATCAAAGGCTCCTGCGCGAAATTTGGGAATTGAACTTTGAAATCGCTCTGTTTTCACGAGTCTTGCTTTCTCATCGGTGCTCGAGTTATCAAATTTTGCTTCGAAAGATTTTCGAATTCTTACAAATTTTCTTACTGCAAAAGAAATTACGATGTGGAATTAATTTGGATTTATCTTTATGGTAAGTACAACCATTGTGCTGTTTTGTAATATTAAATTAATATAGTATTAAAAAAATGTCTATTTGGTATTAACAACACGAATGGAATAAAATTGGAACGTTAAAAGGTAATATCTTGATGATTATAAACACACACACAGTTGAGAACGACGCGCAAAGAATGGGATCTTTGGCGGTTCGTATTTCGCCGTTCTCTCTCGCTCGCGCAGCATGCGTCGACCTGCGCGATCCGAAGTAGCGCGGACGAGAGTGAGAGCGGTTTTGATGCCTGCGCATTCATACGTACCTGCGGGAAACTGTGACGCCCGGCCACCCTCCAGCAGAAGTATTATAAGGAGTGGGAGGCACAGAGAGAGAGAGTGACAGAGGAAGAGATAGAGAGAATGAGTCAGAGAAAGAGACGGAGTGGCGGTGACGGCGGAGAGGGTAAACTAGGTCAGTGTCGTGGAACTTGAAAACTTCGCTTCCGTAATGCGAGAACAGCGCCGACTGCCATCTCGAAGTCGCTTAAACTGCGTTTACGAGTCGGCGGTAGGTAAAACAGAAACACTTGGAGAACTCGAGACCGAGTTATGTGTAGTTATATGTGTACACTCGCGCGCGCATCCTCCTCTTGCACCGTTGCGGAAGAAAGAGGCGCACATACCGATGGTTGGCGGCAAACCTAACCGAGAGAGAACGGTGGGTAGGTAGGGGCGCGAGCGAGAGCGAAAGGAAGACGTATTGGAATGCACAAACTAAAGCATGCCGTTTCAACGGTGGAGGGGGGAAGTTGAGAGGGATAAGCAGGGGAAATCCTCGTTTGTTATACCGGCGCAGTACTCCCCCGATTCAAGTTGACATTCCCACGAGCGCATTTCCTCCACGTGTGATCCTGTCGATTCAATGTCATCAGCTACGTAGATACCGGAAGGTCTCGCAAGGTCACGAATCCGCCGCCATCATCGACGATTGCCTAAAATCTCTCCTCCTCCTTCCCTTCCACATTCGCGCTCACTCTTTCACCCAGTCGTTGCTCTCCCTCGTGGCTGCGTCGGAATTTCCATTTCCGCGAGACGCTCATTTTCTGCTTTAATAACCGAGATGTTCGGAAGACGACAGACAGGGAGGAACGAGAGAAGGATACCGCGTGCACTGGATATGTACGCCCACGTATAAACGCGCGTATATAGCGTTACACGTAAGCCTGAAAACACGAGTAGCGTTAGCTGCTCGTTGACGCGGATAAACCGTCGACGGTGCCGCTATATTTACAGGCGCGCGCACGTTCTCCCCTCTCCTCTCCTTGTACGCCGCTTGTTTTACTGAAATATATTTTTCAAGCGGCTCGCTCTCTCTCTCTCTCTTTCGCGGATTTCCGGGGACACGCGATATGTGAGCGCGATCGCGGGGAATACTTTTTCGGGTCGGCGAGCACGACGCGCATTTTTGATTTCGCAACTAGACAGCCTAGAGATAATTGACGCGCGCATTCACCAGCCGCTTCTAACTAGGAAGGAGGATGCACAACACGCCGCGTACAGAAGTTATTTGTCAAATTTGTAAATACAGCATTGTTCTTCACGTCGCTTCGTAGTCGGCTAATTCGATATGTCCCACACCGGTTCACGCCGTGCGAACGGGACAAATTGTGCGAGACGACGAGTGTATTCGCGAATTCTCGACTGAACTTTCGTCGTGCGAACGAAGTTCTTTCTCTCTCTCCCTCCGATTCCTGCTCGATATCGACTTTGGACCGAACGGTCATTCGCTAAGTCTAAATAACCTCTGGTATATCGAACCGCTGCCAGGGAATCCGCGAACGGCCTGGCCACGGATTGCGAGGCCTCTCTCTCTCTCTCTCGTCGCGCCACAGCGCGCCGCTGGTCTCGTTTTCTCGTTTAATAATCGGTGACATGGAGTGAAGAGTCGCGACCGTGCTCAGTAAAACGGGACACGGATATATATGCGAGCGACGGTCTCGCGAGGGGACGAGCGAGAGGTAGATGGTCGCGTGACGGCGAGGAGCGTTCGGGGGAGCGACGCGGAGAAAAAAGAAGGAGACAAGCGAAGAGGAGAGAAGGACGGAGGAGAATCGGCCGCGCCACGTCGCGCCGAGCCGCGTCAAGGCGAGCCGCGCGCGCGCGCGCGCGCGCGCTTACGTAGACGTAACGCGCGTACATAAGCCCGAAAACATGGAGAACGAGCGAGCGTGAGGTTATTCTCTCGAGCGGATCCTTTTGGTTCTCACTCGTCTCTCACACCGTCGCTCTCTCGTCTCGAGATGCGAGGATCGAGGGAATCCAACGGGAGCAGGCGAGTGTTGGGTAGGTAGGTAGGTAGGTAGGTAGGTAGGTAGGTAGGTAGAGCGAGCGAACGAACGAACGAACGCGCAAACGAACGGCGAAGAGGGTAAAAGAGACAAGCGTAGAGAGAGAGAGAGAGAAGAGCGCGACGACGACGACGATGACTAGGACGACGAGGGGTTCCGGAGGAGACCGAAGGGGCAGCGCGAGTGGGAGGAAAAGGAGGATAGGGCAAGCCGTTATTTAGCCGGGCGCGGGCACTCGCTCTCTCGCGCGTCTCTTCGCGTCCCTTTGCGACCCAACTCACCCGCGCCCACCACCCTACGGTTGCCCTCGAATGCCGCCCCCTCATCGCTCACGCCCGTTCCACTACCTTCCGTTACCTCTCCCCGTGACCGGTCCCCTCGCCGGTCGCTCCTTCACCCTTCGTACGCCCTTCTGCCTAGCCATCAACGTTAGCCCTCCCGTCCTAGTCCCGTCTTTGTTCACCGTCTCTCTCTCTCTCTGTTTTTCTCGCGTTCTCCCTCGCGCTCACCCCACAACTCCTCCAATCTCTCGATCGCGCGCGTCTCTTCGGAACACGCGGCGGTTCTTCACGGCACCGTCGTATTCCCTTCCCACTCCGACGCCGCGCCGCTTCCTCTTCCCCCTACCATTCCCCGTCCCCCGCGTCTTTAAGGACCGTATCTCGCTCTTTTTCTCCGCGGGCATTTTTACCCACGGAAAACCTCGTCGTGCTCGGCTGTAACGCGGAGGGCGGAAGAGAGATAGATCGAAGAGAGGGGGAGAGAGGGGAGAAAAGGAGACGCCGCTACGGCGGGGCTGGGTTGCCTCTCTATCTTGTTCCCCCTCCCATCCTCTCTCTCTCTTTCTCTCGCGCTCTATCTGGTCGTAGCTGTCGTTCGCCGAAATCCCGTGCTAATTAAAGCCCGCCTCGACGCCCGTCGCCGACCGACCGACCGACCGACCGACCAACCAACCAACCAACCCACCCAACTAACCGACCGACCGACCGGCCACGTCCGTCTTTGTCCCCGAATGCCATCCGCCTCGTCACGCTCTCTCTCTCTCTCTCTCTCTCTACCCCCTCGCGATCCGTCCTTCTTTCGCCCTCCTGACCGCCGGTTCTCTCTCTCTCTCATTCTCCCGCGGTACCTTTCGCCGCACGTAGTCGACGCAGCATAGCGGCCAAGCGCACCAAGGAGAAAATTAAGAAGACTCGGCTCCTTCGGTCCATTGTGCCGGACAAGTCCCGTCCACTCATAACGGTACTCGGTGGCGAACTTATGTGTGTGCGTAAATGTGCGCGCGTGGCCAGTTGCGGGATAGCATCGCCCAACGTTTCATCTAGATACATTCCTCGCGTTTCTCGGCCGGCCGCTATCGACGACGGTAGTAGTTGCACTATCGGTGAGGGAATGCATAGGCAGGTAGCACAGTCATGGAGGTGGCTTTAACGGCCCTCCGCAGAAATTAACGATCGACACTCCTTCGTTCGCTCGCTCACTCGCTCGCTTTCTTCTTCTCCTTTTCGATTGCGCCCTTTACGCGGATCAATCCGCCGACGTACATAGCACCTTTCGCCGCGGAGAAAGAGCCTCGGTCGGATTTTCTGCGAAATTAGCCGACTCAAGAATGCCACGCAACGCTGCGATATTGCTGCGTGCAACGTTATTTCAACGTTCGCACGATCCACCGCGAAGAGAAATAATCAAATTGCCGAGTAATTACATCACAGAGAGAGAGATTTTTGGCGCATCGCCTGATTTGAAGAATGTCAATGCACGTGTTTTGAGTTGTTTTTTATCGTATGAGAACGTTATCTCACACAATTGAAAGAGAAATTGTTATTTTCAGAAAAGCTATATATCAGGTCTATAACTTGAAACCCGCCCCCTAGCTTTGACAATCGTCAACTGTAGTGGCTGACATCATTGTCAGTTTTGACATCTGTCAATAATATTCAGTATATAATAGTTTGTGATAACAACATAGTTTTTTACCGCGAAGAAAATGTCTGAATTTCAACC